TTCACGCAAAGAAAGAAGGTGTAACTTTTATTCTTGCTGTAGTATTGTTGTTACCGCCGCCATGTCGTGAAGGCACTGTGTGTTTCGTTGTGAAAGCGAAACTACTTTGTTTGGTCTTCCAAAAGAGGACGATATCTGCTTTGTCATGCCTGGAGCTGATCCGTGCTGGTCGCTGAGGAAATACAACAACTTTGCGCTGTGGATAACCGGATCGGCTTTCACCATGGACGAAACGGAATCCAGCCCGGGTCGTCACATGTGGTTGCCGCAAGCCCTCCGGACCCTCCTTCGTCGAATCCACCAGCCGCGCCATTTTCAAGCCCGCCGCCTCCGCTCACTCTAGCCCTCCGGCCTCTGCTCACTCTAGGCCGCCGTGTGTGACACTGTGTTTCGTTGTGAAAGCTAAACTACTTTGTTTGGCCTTCCAAAAATGGACACCACAAGAAATCAGTGGTTAAGTTGTATTTCCAACACCGTTCCAGAACAGTTCAACCCAAATATTCAGATGTGTGCAGCACATTTTATGGAGGACTGTTTCCTGATCCTGGAAGAGTAGACTACAATGCCGGCTGAAGGCGGGGCATAGAGGAGAAACAATAATGTACAGTATGTGGAAAATAATGTGTTTTTTTAACCTTAAACCGCATAAACACATTTCATTACACCAAATACACAAAATAATGTTCTTTTTAGCAACATCATATGACCCCTTTAATTATAAATACAGTGGTTAAATTAAAAAAAAAAATTCTATTGCTTTTTGTTTTAAAAAAGGTTATAAAAAATTTCAGTAATTATCGATACCGAACGATATGAAACATTATATCGTTGATACATTTTTTTGCTATATCGCCCAGCCCTAATTTACATACAAATAATTATCAACTTATCGGTATCAACCAGCATTATGATATATGTGCATTTCTAAAATCTGTATTTGAAGTGATTTAAAAAAAAAACAAAAAAAAAACATGACAAATAGTTGTAATAAAAAGTAATAGAGTGTACAAAACACAAACTATATGACAAAACAAAAAATTCTTAATAATATTTCGACACAATCTCCTCATTTGGGTGAATTTCTCAGAAAATGCTGATACTGGTTAAATTAAGTGCCATATAATTAATTCAACTAATTTTTAGAACAATTGGCAGGCTCTATCATCCCATCAATAAAATGCTGATTCATAAAAATAACAAATATAGATCACAAAACATCAAACAATAAATATCACAAACATCATATCCTTCAGTTTTAGTAATTTTCTAAATGATTTGAATTAGTGCTAAGTCCAGCAATACACACAGCATGCCACATGCTCTCTCCATGTAAGCATTCATGCTAAAATCATTCATTTATCAGTTTATATATATTGTATTAAACCATATTTATGATTTTGCAAATAAAATCAACAAGCTGTTTTCAGCACGCCAGCACATCGCTGCAACGTTCTGAATATCACATGACTGCTGAAAAACAGATGGAAAGATATATGACTTTATCACATGAGAGCAAACAGGAAGTGATGCATTACCTGTTCTGCAGCAGCTCTGGGGCCAAAGACTGCTGTCGGCGCAGCGGAGCTTTACAAGCCTGGGAGGAAACCTCAGTGAAGGAGATTTTCTTCTTGATGGGCGGGTGGCTGAAGGTGTGCGCCCGGCGACGGAACTGCGGGGCATCTGGGTCCTCCTCAATGTAGCTGGGTGGAGTCCCAGGTGGGGAGTCACCAGGGGAGTCGCCCTGCTGGGTGAATAGAGAATGAACAGGTCAGTGATGAGATGGACCCAACACCCTGACATGCAATACAGACAAGGTCTCCTCAAACCTTAAAATCCACAAAGTCAGCTTATCCAAGAGTCAAACCTCAAATTCCAACCACTCGCCAGACAGGAACAAGCAATCTTCTGAGATATGCATGTACAACCTTCAAGTTTCAGACAAAGCAAAACAAATGACTTGCTGCCAGCTACAGCTAACTACTGATTCTCGACTCACCCAGCGCTTTCGCTCTCCCCGTCCAGCCTGAGTCTCGGTTCGCTTCCCCAAGCAGAAGTGTGTTGGTGGTAGCGTGACTGCTCACACACTTTGTGATCTATTGTATGTTAATAGTCTGTGTCACAGAGCCACATCAGACACACATGAGCCGTTGGAGGTGGACCACAGCACAATGGAGGTTTCTGGCTGCTGTTTACTGTGATGGCTATAGGAAGGGTCTCTCTTCCTCACTCTGTTTCCTGTCCCTGCGCTATGGCGGTTCCTGAACCCATGCTCTCCTGTGAGTCAGTACACAGCAGGGCCAGGAAACCAGCAACGGCTGCACAACGCTCTCTCTCCTTCCACTCGCACAAATCACAAACCCTGTCCACTTCCTACAGCTGCCTACAGCTAAATTTGGGAAAAACAAATGATCCAAACAGCATAATAGTTCTCTTGGCAGGGTAACACAAAGGGAATGGGAACCTAAGTTTGATAAATTTGGGACCAGTTGGCTAAAAGTAATTGTACAAATGGATAAGAAAATAAAAGTTAGTTCTGACGATAAAGTAATAACCTAATTTTTTATGATTGATCACAGTTTATGGACACGACTTGGTTTGATATTTTTTGTTATAAAATGCCTAATTTTTCAACTGGAGTTTAGACACAATGACCAATGAATTTCCATGATTTTTCCAGTTGTTTTCGATTTCTGGATAAGGATTTTTTTTAAATAATTAAAATAGACATTACTATTGTTTGGGATTAAGTTTTAAGCAATATTTAGCCTATTAAATATTTTAGAGCAGAGCATAACTAGATAAATGGATATTCACTACATCAATTTAAAGATATGCATATATAAACTTCCCTGACATTCTAGGTTTTCCATTACCTTATAAAATATATATTAATTCTATTTTTTATTGATAATTTTTTATTTTGATTACTTTCTCCACTCACTTTCATTAGTTTAGGTTTTTATCTTATTAATGCTGGTACTTTTAGTAATTCTTTTATTTAATTATTATTTTATTTCATTTTACAAAAATGGTTTAAAGGTACAGTTCACCCAAAAATGAAAATTGTCATCATTTACTCACCCAAAACTGTATGACTTTTTTTCTGTTAAAAACAAAGGAAGCTATTTTGAAGAATGTTGGTAACCAAACAGTACTGCTAACCATTGACTTCCATTGTATGTAAAAACACACACACACACACACAGACATTTCTCAAATATATTTTTAAGTAAGTCATTTGGACAACATGGGAGTGACTAAATGATAACAGAATTTTCATTTTTGGGTGGACTATCCCTTTTAAATCAATTATTTTCATCACTATTTTAGTTTCACTATATGATAATGATTCTCAGAAATGATTCACAGTACATATTGAACATGGAAGAGAGCCATGAGCAAGGAGTTGCTGGATTCTATCATGTTATTGAGAGCTGAAGTTTAAGCACGAGAGAAGGTGCTCACATTGGCAGCGCCTCTGAGGCCATGTGAGGACCCTGTGGGAAGGAAGAGCTGACTGATTTGTTTTCCATAGAGACGTGTCCAGCTTACCATCACACACACCTCACATTTCACACCCCACCGAGACAGCGAGGTAGACAGGGTCAAAACAAGCCACCCCCAATAAGCAAGACTTCCTGACCAGGCTGACAGGCCAGATTCAATCATATTACACAAGGTGATGCAGAAAAACATGTAGTGTATCATAACCCAGCATTGGTATTAATTTCAGCATGCAGTGGTAACTGACACCACAGAGACATGCTTGCTGGCAGGGCAGAACTGAGACGTGATTCTTGGCAGGGAGAGAACAAGAGCTGGGGTTAAAATGACAGATCCTGGTGTTCACATGTTGTGTGATACTCACGCGGTCAAAACTTCCCATGCTGCCGAGACGCATTCGCATACGGTTGGCCCCCTAGAGAAGAAATATTTAATAACAAATAAAATATAGAAACAACAGCAACCTGCTTGAAAGTCAGGATTTACAATTACACACACTTTAAAAAAATAAAACAAAAATTCTGTCATCATTTAATCAACATGTCATTCATAATTCAGAAACCTGTATGATTTCTGTCTTTCATGGAACACAAAAGATGTGTGCTGAATGCTGAAAAAAAAATGAATGCTGCTCTTTTCCATGTAACAAAATCAAACAGTGGCCATCGAAAAAAAAGAATCTGTCTGAGCTCCATTGTAGAAATTCATACAGGTTTGGAACAACATGATTGTGAGCAAATGATGGCAGAATTTAATTTTTAGGTAAACTGTTCCTTTAATGGAACACAAACAAATGTCTAATGTACAATTCAAGCTTAGCTTTATCCTAACACATAGATATTGTTTTGTGAGTAAACACAGCAGATGGTTGATTCATTATAATAATGTACACAAATAAAGGTATTATTTTGTACAAGGGTGGGGTAAATGGGTCAATCCCCATTCACAGACTACTAAAACATAGACGCACAACACACACACATACCCTTGAGAAGATGTTCTCCAGGGAGCTTGTCAGAGAACTCCGGGCTTTGTTCTTGAACACGTCCAGTTTATTGCGGCCCGCAATGGAGTTATCAGAGGTCACGGTGCTGCCAGAAGCATTCTGCTGTCACACAAAGGTATAAAGAGAGTGAGCAAGTGAGAATGAATGTGCCATACAACTAGAGTTTTCTGAGAAATCCGTGAAAATTGTGTTCTGCACTTGGTGACATTTCACTCAATAGATTTTAAAATGATGGAAGAAAGACCACCAGGCATCAGGGACAAATCATTACTCGTCTAAAACAGCACTTTGCGGCAACAAACACAAGTGAGCTCAAAGCACAGTCTGAGTGCATTGGAAGCCTTGCTAATTCTGTCTTTTTGTCCCAGTAAACCCTTGTTTCCACTGTAGAATTTAAAGGGTGGACAGGTCATTATTTCATTGTTTCCATAGCACCTTATAAAAACTGTCTTTATATACAGACAATTATGTATATAACAAATATATATACAAATATTCCTGTATATATTTTTATATTTATTATTTCCATACATACATACAGTATATTATTAAATTGAAAAACTATTGTAGCAAACAGCAATGCTGTGAAATATTATTTCACATTATTATAATATTGTTTTCTATTTTAATATACAAAAATGTATTCCTGTGATGGCAAAGTGGAATTTGTTTTTACAGTTTTCAGTGTCATATGGTCCTTTAGAAATCATTCTAATATGCTGACTTGGTGCTCAAGAAATTTTTTTTATTACTATCAAAGCTGAAAAGTTGTGCTATTTTATTTATTTTTATTTTTGGAAACTGATATTTCTTTGATGAATAGAAAGTTCAAAGAACAGCATTTATATGAAATAGATTTTTTTTAAATGATGTCTTTACTGTTATGCTTGATCAATATACACACATACATACTTTATAAAATGAATATATAATACGTATAATTATATATTATTTAATACACATTAACTAACAGCCAAACAGCCAAGCTAAGTGGTATCAACAGAAATGGAAACTTATAACGTGCACTATAATAATAAATCATTCACAATAAGACCAGGAATATAAAGTAAGAAAGTAAATAGGGTTCATTTCGATTTCATGTCAACTTTAAAAGCAGTGAGAAATTTTTCCAGAGGCGAAGTACTTTGAGAACATACCACACCACACACTCAAAAGGGCAGCTGCATTCATTCAGGAGCTCTGTTCTAATCTATAGCTGTATTCAGATGACACTTCCAATCTGTCTTATCCAATTAGAGAGAGGTCACAGTTTCATGACTCTGCAAGGCAGCGTGGGTGGGCGAAGCAAGCGGTGCATTTATGTTGTTTGTGCAGTTATGCTACCTGTGGGACCTCTCCAATATGAACATGAGACTTCTGCTTGGTCTCGCACAGCTGTCGGAGGTGAAGAATCACAAGCTCGTTTTCTTCATGATCAGATGCTGGCTTCATTTTCTAATGCATGAGAAAATACAAACTAAATATGCAATAAGGAATTGAAATTCAAAGATATTTAGTTACTTTGTCTGCAAAATTTCTCCTTGTGTGCCTACCTGCACCCGCTCGAATATATTGACCTGCTCGTTGTCGCTCAGTTGGGACAGGTACTTCTGAATGGCTAGTTTCGCCCTGGGAGGATACAAACCTGGGACATTGAGAGAGAAACACACTGGAATATTGTGCTAAATGTGGGACAAGGACATTGAGTGAGTTGATGGAAGCTGGTGGCTGTACCTTCTATTCTCTCACAGAGCTTGTGCAAGTCATGCATTGGACAAGCTTCGCACAGTTTGATTTGGTTCTTGGAGCTCTGCAGAGCTGCTGCTGTGGTAAAGGCTTGTTTCAAGGTGAGCATTACTTCATCCACCTGTGAAAAGCATTTGCAGAAAAAAAAGTGGTAAAATACACAAAACAAGTGAAAAATGTATACAGTAATAGACTTACACTGAAAATTATTATTTAATAATAAAACATTTAATTTGTGAAGTTGTCTCAATTAAAATGGGACATTGTGTGCAAAAACATAGGTCTGATTCTATTCATCCTCTGGGTGGCATTTAGCTGGTAAGAGAAATCAGCATACTAAAGGCAATATCCACAAAATAGGCAAGGGAGAGTCATTGTTTTCATTGTAGCTTAGGATAAATAATTGATCGGTGTGGGGACAACAGGTGCTGCAAGCAGGTCAGGACTCACCAGAGACTCACTAGCGCACTGGAACACGTAACACACATACTGGGCTGGGCCAGACTCCACCACATCCCGACAAATAAAGCCAAAGTGATCTGTCTGTTTAACACCCTGCAGGCACAAAAAACAGCATCCATAAAAGATAAATAACTATATGGAGCTGCAAGTCACAATGCAACACAACAACACAGAGCAGCAAAATTATTCACTTTATAAAACAAATGATTCTGCGTCTGAAATCTGATTGGATGAAACATGTTCGAAACTGTGACTGTGCATCAGTTGAATTTTATATTATTATTAATGTGACTATTATTAATGGTAATACACAGAATTTTTATTTACTCAACATTGGTGTTATACAACAATGGACCCAATAAGCATTTAAAGATGTGTTTTACAGTGATTTTAGCAAGTAAAAATGCCTACAAACAAGGGCTGGGCGATTTGACCTATATCAAAACCTCGATTAATTGAACACTTTACCGCAATTACGATTATTTAACGATTATATTTTTTTATTATTTATTATTGGGGATTTTTTTTGCCCTCATAGTTCTTTAAAGGGTTGTAGTGTAAAAATACTCCACTATTAAATGTGGGATTTTTTTTTTCTAATGAAAGAGTGCATTTCTTATCTTTGTTATTTTAAAATAATTGAAGGAAACTAAATATTTATGGTTATTTGTTGAATATTTCGAACAACTGAAATCAAGGCTTGCTTGAAATGACGACATCTTATGAAAAAAGTCGCATTACGGTTTTATTGTAAAAAGCAAGTTTCCTAGAAAAAAAAAAGAATAGAAAATAACTTTCATTTTTTGCAAACAATATAAATGAATATTGCCATGTCAAAAGTAGAAAATAACCAGCATCTCTTGCAAACAAAATACATTTTAAATATTGTCATGCGAAAAGTAGAAAATAATAACTTGCATCTCCTGTAAACAAATGTTTTAAATAATGAATGTTGCTTCTCGCAGCGCTTGCCCCGCATCCGGGGTCTTCTGATTGGTCCACTGTTTTGGAATTGACATTGATGAGCTGTTAACGCGCCGGCGCCACTCACGTGCGAGACACAAAACACGTGAGTGCAATGGGTCATACTCGGTCCGTGCAACCCTTTGCAGTTCTTTGTTCAATTCGCACCATCAAAATGAACCAAATGAAAAGTTGGCTTCAAACTTTCATTTTCAATTTCTTTGGAGCAATTTACAAACGGATAATTGTCTCTCATTTTAATTTTCAATTTTACGAGTTTGGGTTGTTGCGCCCGAATCTGATTTTTGAACTATAACATAAAAAATTACTCATTATTCTGATTTTCCACTTCTCTGTTTTGTGCTCCCAGTTGGACCGTACCAGTGGGGGGAGCGGGGGAACATCATAAACCCGTCTTTTTAGACAATAACAAGACATGGGTGTCATGTAGGCTAAAAATGTTTTTTTAATTGGACTGAATTTGTATTTAACGTGATTGCAATTTAATAAAAACGTTAGCCTATATAATGTTTCCTTTCCACGGTTATTCAAACAGCGAATAAATTATATATAGAAACTGACATTATCACTAACATTGATCTATCGCGAGTTTAAGCACTCTCAAAAAAAACTATTGTTATAATCACTGAAGCTGTATAGCCTACACTGTGGAATGAATCACTTACATTGTACATACATCTGCGCTTTGTTGTTTATTATGAGAGAATTCGCAAGAGTCCGGCACTCTCAAAAAAAACTACTGTTATAATCACTGAAGCTGTATAGCCTACACTGTGGAATGAATCACTTACATTGTACATACATCTGCGCGAGAGAATTCGCAAGAGTCCGGTATTCAGTCAGCGAACGCGCGCGCACTCGACTCTGAACTCCTCTGATTGGCCATTGCATTCCTAAGCTCAAATGCGCGAATTCTGATGACGCGCGAAATGCAGCTGGAGGGTAGGAAGTGATTTTTCTCTCCATAGGAATCACTAGCAGAAACTCCAAATGCCTGTGTTTTGCGTTGTTTATGGATGCTCAAATCGACCAAACCGAGACACCACAAGGAGCTTTTATCGTGTACGAAAATGTGTTGTTCATAAGGGGGGAAAAGTCAAGAAATTGGTTGAAAAACACAGGAAACAGTGGCTTGTAAACCTGCGTCTGCGGTCGGGAGGAGCGAAGCCGAATAATGCTTGTGTGTGCAAATGGTTAATATAAGATAATAATATATTAAAATATTAATAAAGAAATATATAAATAGATACAGGGTGACACTGTCAGAATTCACTGAATGTTAAACGCCACACATAGACACGATGTAAATAATATATTATTGGCAGTCCTGAGAGCTTCATATCACGGAATCGTGAGATTGCGATATATTGAAGTTAGTGACAGCTTTTTAGTGATTAACGTTATATGAAAGCGCTATTTACTCGCTTTCTAGGCTATAATCGATTCAGAATTTAAATAAAAGTTGTTTTACGTGCTGCTAACAGGACCAACAGCCACATGCCCTGTAACTTACATGCAGCAAAGTTTCAGGAGTGACATATTCCACATCCCTCATATAAATACGGGATGCACTTTCGAAATAGCTTGTTTACAATCAGGGTTAGTTGCTTAGCCTATATAAAAATCGCTCCTCTTTATAACATAAGGATCACGTCCAACATGTTGTGATTATCAATACCTTTCTCTTGTAATAGCGTGGTGGTTGAAGAGAGATCCCCTCATACGATTGTAAG